CATGGCTGATTTATGCAGAGAAGGATATTGGCATTCTTGAAATAATCTCTCTTACAGCTGTTTTTACAGCAAATTGCTTGCCGCTATCAAGAAAAGACATTATTCATTTGTCAGAAAAAAATATCTATGGGTACAACCAGGTGCACGTTTGATATTATAGGTAAACAATTCTTTGCAAAGATTCAAGAAGAGATTGGGAAAGCAACAGCTGTCATTTTTTATAAACCCTTATTTGCCTTCATTAGCCAAGTTATGAAGCATGAATAAATAATTTGAAGACTGCTGCAGTTATAGCAATTTGTTTTCAGGCATAGAAAGAAGAAGACAGCAGTGAAGTATATATGAAAAGGCTAAGAGGATGAAGAAAGTGTGTGTGTGTGTGTGAGAGAGAGAGAGAAAGAGAGAGAGAGAGAGAGAGAGAGAATAGAATCTGCAGCAGAGTGTAGGAAAGTGACAGATATGAAAGCATTGACCTGTCTATGCTGAAAGCATGCCTTGCCTACCAGTTTTCCACATGTCAGTAGTATTTTGACAGTTTCTTGATTATCCTATCACTCACAACTGTCTTTTTGGAAATATGTACTTACTTTTTTTTCAGGTGAAATGTGAATCATGTATCAGACATCAGATTTTGCAAAAACACATGGGGGTATGATATAGTGCTCAGTGAAAAAAAAGTGCCAGATGACTGATTTTTGCAAAAGTTTAGAATAACTAATGTATTGCATATATTTTAGGTAGCTGATTTTATTTTTTGTAGAGTGAATTTGAAAATGCTTATAGTGGTTAAGGCAAAAAGAATCCAAAAAATATAAAACCAGTGCAGCAGCAAGCTGTGGACAATTGTCAGAATATGCTGCATGGAAAATCATACCTCCCAATCTGTTGACAGACAAGATCAATGCAGGGGAAAATATCCTTCCTGTGAAAAAAGTGCTAAAAATCAATGGATGTGTAAATTTTCTCAGGTGTGTGTGTCACGATATAATTAAACTGTGTCATAGTATGAGTAAGTTCAATATTAATTAAAATGTCAGGGGATACTCTCCTATAAGTTGGAATGGAATGGTCAGAATGCTTAATGTTTGTGTTTAGAGCACAAGGCAGCAAGAACATTTAAAGAAAATGATATAACATTTGAACATAGAATGTTGAACCCCTTACACACCAAATTAAGCCAAACATAAAAAGTATATCACACTCCAACCCTTTCCCCCTGACAGCCCAACCCCTTACTTTCCTTTCACTACCATGCAGCTACATGTACTCCTACAAGTACTTCATCTAGGTAAGAAAGTCAACAACCGACATAGTTATTGCGCAAAGAGTTATGCCAGAGGTCATGAGTGCCTGTGTGACATGTCATCCTATCCCATGACCATTGTCACAGCCAGCTTCCAAATGCACTACAGTTCTGCATGTCTTTTTTCAATTTTGTTCCAATGATTTCACTTAGTGGTTTGTAGAGAGGGGATCATTTACTCCCAAGGGTGTGGATTAGTTTCCAAGTCCATTGTTGGAAACTGAGAATCAACATTATAGCTTCCCCCACAGGGATTTTATTGGACATGTTTGTGAAAGATTAATATGCCTGTGTCCACGTTAGCTCCTATACAAGGCCAATGTTTTTATAGTGGCTGATCAATAGATTGGAAAATTTAATAGTTCACATTAGTTTGATGTGTCTGGATTACCTTAATACTGATTTATCTTTTATTTCATCTGTTTTGATGGAAGGTGAATTTCCTTTACTTATATTCTATTAGTTCATGGAATGCTGGTATTTCATTTCCTGCTTGGACTGACCATTCTTCAGGGAAATTTGATGGAAGGTCGAAAAACAAAATCCATCTTCAGTCAGACCTAATACTGACTCAGACATTTAAGAGGTAGAACATGATACCAACTTTCTGATTTTCAGTGTGATTTTCAACAACAAATAGTCCCATTCATTTCCTGTCAGTATTTTGTGCCAAATATTATGACACCCTTTGGAGCAGAAAGAGGGTAAACAGTCTTTTAAGAAAAATCATATCCCTGGAATAACAGTGTGTAAAGAAATATTTTTCATCCACGATTGAGCAGGTAATAATGAAATAACTGCATGTCATATTTCACAAGCTTTGTGTGTAATATATGTATTTTACATAAATACATGGTTGCCTCGATAATCTTAGCTATTAATTTTATTTTATTTTTTTTTTTTTGTGGAATGATGTGAATTTATTTATCTTTTTTAATTGGTGGCAGATCCAAGATTTTGCTGGAAATGTGGGCTGGTGTGGGGGAAGGGAAAAAGAGAACATTATGAAAAACTTTTTTGACTTGGTTTGGCATGTTTGCATGTAAAATGCATTTTAAAAGTGTCAGATTTGGTTAGACAGCCAGGCCTGCTATGTCCATTCCTTCACATGATAGGATGCACATGATAGGAAATTACACTTGAGTTTACTAAAACTTTGAATTATTGGATTTTTAATTTTTTCCTTTTTTCCTTGCTTAGCAATACTAAACAAAAATGTACATTTGTGATAGATTGACAACAGTGACATGCTTACTCATAGCACATTTAGGTTAATTTTATTTATTGGGCGTGGATTAAATTTGTTACAATTTGTTCAGATAGTAAAAGCCAACTGCTGTAGCTAGGATGCAATCAGACTTAGTATATACTTCACACATGGTCTGTAAGATGTTGACGGTGTAAGAGGTTAGCCAGTTTTCTTTGAAGTAGATACTCCTCTATTGATCTGTATGATAAAGGTTAAGTAGTTTTACAGATGTTGGTTACCGTTAATTAAGGTACAAAAAAAAAAAAAAAAAAAAATTGAGAAAAAGTACTATGTAGTTGAGAAAGTTTTCGTTTATTTGCAAATCCTCTGTGATGACACACATACTATGGTTGAATAAAAAAAGTAAATCTTAAAGTTTTGATATTATACACTTTTATGTTGATGATGATTATTATTTTTATCATCAGTATAAGTATTATTGATTTATTGATATGAGCACATTTTGATACAATTGTTATAATTTAACAATAGAATACATGAAGATTACATATTTAATTAGAGATGCACAATTATATGCTTTTAACAAAAAAGGCTCATACTTGTATTTCTGAAAAAACATTCTTATAATATTGTTCAACTGTTACTACAGTTTTAACTTAAAGCACTTGAATTACATATTAACATCAGCATGTTTTATTGTGGTTATCCTAAAAATTCTGATCTTTTTTCCCTGTTTTTCATGATAAATTTTGTAACTGCTTGGTCTTCATCATTTGTGTCCATGAGGAGACTAAATTAATCTGTAGGGCTATCAAAAGTAATACTTTCAATTTTTTGGTGGGTAAATTGGCTTTCTTTATTAAACTTGAGCAATTGGGCAAGATACATTGTTCATCTTCTAACTCTGCATGCATGACTTGCAAGTTTGTTCTAAATCTTATGTAAGATAAGATCTAATGCAATTTAAAAGTAAAGACAAATTGCAGTAAAAATGATGAACAAATGGTAAAAATTGACATTCATAAAGATCTGATGAGTTCAGTGCCACATATAAATTGTCACAGCTTCCATATTTATATTTGGCTTACTTTATGAGCATCCTGTAATTTATCTCTCTATCAAAACAGGATTCATCTTAACCAAGAAAACGTAATGGCTGCTCTTTGTCATGACAATTGCCAAACATTTCATAAAAATTGGTCAGTGCATTTAGGACATGTTGATGAACTTTTAAGCCCATTCCTCTGTACTTTAAAAGAAGGAGAATACTTTGCATATATAAAAGAATATGAACTTTTTAAAAATATGTTTAAGTCTGTCTGAACTGCAAATAGAAAATAAATGAAAAAAGAAGACAAACAGGATTATATGCAGCAGCCTGTGTATATGTATTTTCATGAACACTCATAGTGAAGCCTTAGTGCACACACTGGTTCCCTAACCTAATAGTCTTTAGTGTAAGCTAGTTGACTAACTGACAGTTGAAATTCCCTGGGCTGTCAACCTGTTTCAAAGATCATGACAAAACTTGACAAATGAAGATGGAGGAAGTGGACTCCTACAGATAAAAGGCTATGTTCAGGTTCCGAAGTGATTGGTCCATACTCTAAAAGTTGAGTACCATTGGAATGGGAAGTTGATATTTGGCCGCAAGGATAAATCAATAGGACATTTTACTTGCTATTATGAGTTGTGTGGTGTGTGTAAGTTAGAGTTATTTGGCTGAATTGAGCAATTTTCTAAACTTTGTCAGGGCTCTGGTTCAATTTGTGAATGATGGATGGGTGATAGTTAGCATCACCATTCGTGGGAATATGATTTGCCAGGAGAAAAAAGAAGTTCCTTGAAATTTAACTTTGCCTGCTTATTTTATCTTCAAAAAGCTCTAACGGCTTATATGCATGTCTCTGTATGTCAGTTGCATTTCGGTTTTGGCAATTGTAACAGTGACAGTTATGTTTTACCATGAAGTGAAATGAAATGAATAAAGTGAAAGTAAAATTAGAGAAGTTACCTGGGGATTTTTTTTTTTTTGGGGGGGGGGGGAGGGGGGGAGGGGAGTGTAAACTATCCAGGATTAAGAGGAACTGTAGTGAAATGGTTATCCAGGTTGTACTAAATTTGATGAATGATAAGATGGATGGGTAAATAGTCTATATCTTAGATTTGTGGCATTCTCGGGATGTGAAGGAAGTTATTTTTAGGTAATGTAATCTTCACAAATAATTTTTTCTTGTGCCCCTGACCCTTTAGTATTTTAAAGAAATACAGCAATTTTTAAGAAATACAGAGTTTTTTTATCTTGAAAACTCACTTCCTTTATTTATGTAAACTTGTGGGCACTGATGATATAACTATGATAAAGTCCCCTCATTGGACAAGTTCCAGTTTGTAGAATTGTTAAGTAGTTATCCCCCCCCCCAATATGTGTACAGTGTTTGTTAAGCTGCTATCCAGATGATAAGTTCTTCATGTTTTTTTTCCCAGATACTGCCCCTCCATAGAGTCCAAGGTGCTAAGGTTTGGGGGAAGATCACATCAGATATGGTTGGAACCAGAAGGTAAGACGATACAACATTTTAAATGGCAATTTATTTTGTTCTTGTACCACCTGTGTTCTAAAATTCATTGTGCGCTAAGTGAATAATTATTATAGCATTGATATTGTTTAAAGCATTATTAGTACATCTTACTCCTCAAGCTTTATCTTGTTTATCCTTAGGAATGTCCTGTACACTAGCATGCATGTACTTTGGTTTTTTAAAGGTCTAGACACATCTTCCAACACACTCACATACATGCACATGACTTTTAGATATATCTTACTGGCAGATGCACATACCAAGGCTGTAAAGGTTTTAAGTAACTTTATTTGTACTCATACAAGGTCTGGACACCCATCTTGTGTACCCCCAGGGGATGTCCTGTACACTGCCCGCAGAGCAACAGGTGCACATGATGAGGACCATCCAGGGACTGGAAAATGTGGATGTAGTCAAACCAGGTAGATTAATGCTTAGGTCAAGCTTGTTTGTATTTTTTGGCTTTGTTTTGTTAGGCAATTTTTTTTATTTTCCACTATATCAGTGATATATTAGAATATGAAACAATTTTAAAATATTTTTTATATCCAATATAATTATTATAAGGATTTATCAGAAAAAAATGTATCTGCTAGCTGGCATGAGTCCTATGGTCATACCATAGAAGATGATGTGGGTTTCAATACAAGGTAACATGGTTCAAATCTATTTGGCTAACAATTTATGGATATCAGAATGAAAAATAACAAAAATTATACTTGGTGATGAAGATTTAGGTAAGTTCTTTGGTCATGTATCCCATGCCTAGAATACCGGGTAGTGCCTGGAAGTAGGAAGGACTCCATAAAATACATTAATCCTCATTCCTATCAGTATTCTCTTAGACCGAAAATCAGACTGCATTGTATCTTTGGGTGACCAGATTCCAGAGACTCCATAGTTTTCATTTGATCAGGTGGGGTAAGCTATTTCTCTGGTTTAGAAATGCCCTATGTTGCAGCTACTGATTTAGCTATTTAACTTCTGCCTTTCATCTACAGGGTATGGTGTTGAGTATGACTACATAGACCCCAGGCAGGTACGGACCTCACTGGAAACCAAGCCTATTCAGAATCTCTACTTTGCTGGCCAGATAAATGGCACAACTGGATATGAAGAAGCTGCAGCTCAGGTATATTGATCTGTTTCAAATAGGATCATACTTTTCTATATATCATTGTAGCCAAATTGTTCATTTAAAAGTCTGGTAATTGTGCTATTATGTGGTGGAGAAAAAAAATCTCTTCTTTTGTTGGGTGGGTGCAGGGGTGCACCTTGGACTCTAGTAATAAAGTAAATGAGATAAAAAGTATACCTGTTGCTTCAAGGTAAAGAGACATATCCTTATTCTTATGTTTATTAATATTTGCAGAGTGCCTACTTCAGAATTAAATGAATGTAAACAAAAAAATGACTGTATGTATGTACCCTGTATATCATAAGGCAGAATTTAGGAACATTCTTTTTCCACAATATATAATTCTGTTTGCTTAGGGAATCATAGCAGGCATCAATGCAGCATTAAAGTCACGTCACAAATCACCCATGACAGTAGACAGAACTGAGGGTTATATTGGTGTGCTGATCGATGACCTCACCACACAGGGCACCAATGAACCTTACAGGATGTTCACCAGCAGGGCGGAGTTCAGGCTAACACTGAGACCAGACAATGCTGACCTTAGACTCACTGAGAAGGGTAGGTGTATTAGTATGTATAGAGTAACCTCATGCTTACCTGCATCATTCAGAGGTTGGGCTGAGGTTTATTGAATATGATTATGAAGTAAAAATGGGCGGTGTCTCTTTGTATTTACTCTAAAAGACTTCTTTTTCTACACTGTCTGCATATAGCCCTTTTGTTCAGTCCATTATATGTGGTCTAGATAATGTGATGATCTCTCCCCTTTTATGAAAGACTTACCACTGTTTATTTTTGAATTCTGTGTAGAAGGCTTTTTAATTGTTTCAAAGAAATGTTTTTTATTCAATTTGTAATCTTGACAGGCTACCAAACAGGCTGTGTCAGCCAATACAGATATGACAAAATGTGTAAGAATAGGGCAGACTTGGAGGAAGGGATGGACCTGCTTAGGACATTTGCTCGACCAATAAGCAGTTGGAGAGAAAAACTTGGCCTAAGACCTAAACAGAGTGGGAGTCTTATGAGGTAAAAATTAAAAGTTCTTGTTTATTGTGGTTAAGTTAAGAGGTTTATTTGTTACCCACACATCAAATTATTAAATGTGTATCAACACCATTCAACAGTGAGAAGGTTGGAAAACAGTAAAAAGATTTTTCATCATTATCATGTGGTCATATTGTGTTTTGCTTAACTTAAACTGATGTCTCACCTAATACAATCTGAACAAAGCCAAATGCACTGACACTATTAAGGCCACACTTTTTTATTTTTATGGATGACATCCTGTGCCCGCACCGATTTTTGTCCGTTCTCACCCCCAACTAAGTCGGTTGTCGCAAACGTCCTTATTGAATTTTGCCGGAAAAATGAGCTTTCTGCGCATGCGTATTATCGCCACGTGGAAATTGGCAGCTATGCCGTCAAATTCATCTCTAGGATTACTGTCAAGTTACACGACAATTAAAGTCATAAAGAGGACGGAGGCTGTTGATTTGGATTGGTATGCCATTGATATTGGGCATGGAGATATCACCTTTCTATAATTATACGAAAGGCTGGTGGTGGCCAGCGATTATTGCCCGGAAAATTCTGACATTCTGTCCAAGGCAGCACATGTTTTTTGTAGCAAAAACAGGGTCGACAAGGGTGTTGAGGTATTTGGTGGGCTGAAGGTCGGACAGGCCACCCGACAGTTTGGCTGCTTCGTGCGAGTCAAAGTAGACAAAACGGCATTGACTGAAATGACCTTTAATAGATTTGGTAGTATTAAGCATATCTTTGCATGATTTTTTAATATTTCTGTGAATTGTTCATAATGCTTTAATATTCTGAGAGCACAAATAAAGACCCACTGTTTGTTTATTATTTGTTTTATTGATTGGTATACCAGCAAAATGCATAGAATAACCTTAATATAGATATGGTAACATGCAGCATATCTATTTATAACCTTTTTTTACCTTTCTACGAAATATTGACAATGCTTTAATATTTTGAGAGCATGGATAAAGACAGTGTTAGTTTATTACGTGTTTCTGTGGTACATGTGTTTCCAGCTGTGTACTGACAGCATTCCTTTACTTAAGCGGTATTTTTTTTTTTTTTTTTTGGACTTTTTTTTTTCGCCCTCTTGCACCGATTTTGGGGTCCCCAGAGGATGTCATCCATAAAAATAAAAAAGTGTGGCCTAATACCAAATCAGTTAGAATATATGTCAAATTGTCTGATAGATCTAATGCCCTTGTACATTTTCAGTGCATTTGAAGTGCTCAGTTCACCAGATATCACACTGGATAATCTGGCTGGGGCTTATCCGGAACAGTTCTCAAGGTTTGTCAAGAACAGAGAGTTAGCTCAGAGATTAAAGACACAAGGTAAAGAAAGCATTCTGAAGCAAGGATCTGATACTGTATCTTTTATCATTCAACATGTAACCATTATATTAATAACATTTAAATTGTTTTTACTGTAAACAACATTGAAATGCATTTATTGTATAGTTTGGAAAAAATAAAGATTACTATTATTATTATTATTATTATTATTAGAATAAGGTTTTCACTCAGAAAGTTGTCACATTGTTTTTAAAATTTCAGTTGTTTACTCAGTAATTTTGTTGGAAGAGACGAGAGAGATAGAGGAGGTTAGAAAAGACGAGCAGCTTATCTTGCCTGAGGATTTAGACTATTCAAAGTAAGACTGCTCCCATCTCTACTTTGACCTTTTCTTTTTTTTCACTTTAGTAAAACACTTCCATAATGAAAATATGTATCAGCTACATTAATTCTCCTTCTCTTTCTAATACATGCCTGCATGTGCACACCTACTGGTACGTTTACATATTCATTCAGAATTATTCTCCATATGTACTGGTATATCTTTTGAACGAGAGTATGGTTTGGTTGATTACTTACCTTTTCAGTATCAGCTAGCCAACATGTGCCTATCACTTTGGTAGGACTCAAAGTTGTAATTACTGATGGTTCCCTCCTTATGTTTGTTTATTTATAGTGCCTGCACAATACAGTGTAATCGAAACTTATGCTGTAATGTCTATAGATGGTTGTGTAATATCACAAAATATTTATACTTAAATATGAGCATGTTCAAATCTTCAGGCCCCTGCACTGGAATTCATGCGGCATAATATCTTTTCATTGTCAATTATCAATTACACAACATGCTTCTGGTTCATAAACTTGATACTAATAAGCAATTACTGTGTATGAATTCCATTTCTTATCATATTATTTTATTCGTGACAAGAAAGAAAAGTATCTTGTAAAACTAAACTGTATTTATAGCTATTTATGTGCTCGCACTGCCCTTCATTAATTGACTAATAATGTATAGAACTAATAAAGTATAGAAAGGGTAGCAGGCTACAGTGAATGTAACCTGTGGGTCATGGCATGGTCAGTTGTTGTTGACCTAGCCAAGCAGTGTATCTATATAACTTGTGCATTCAGGTGGCAAATTAATCAACATACTCACAGACTAGGGTTAGGATTACTCAATAATGTGTTAGTATGTGATTGATACAAAATTAAATGTAGACACTATTGTTATTTGCCTGGAAGGCTGCTGGATCTTAGTGAAGTTGACTAATTACAATGTTATGAAGAATGAGCTCGTACTTTGGGATGAAAAAGATTTCATGGGCCCCTTTTCAGTTAGTTTGCAAAAGAAAATAAAACTTTTTTTAGAAAGATACTACAAGTTAATGTATGTAGTGCCCCCCCCCCTCAAGAAATCACTATTCTGTAACTTAAGTAAGATGTTAACCATTTTGGAATTATTTTTTAGTTTGAATATAGCCATTGAATGGAGAGTTAAACTGTCAGAAACTAAACCACAGACAGTAAGTTTATGCACAATATTCCTACATGTAGTACTGCAAGGTGTTTTTGCACTATTTAAATATTTTTGCACATATTTAGATATTGACAGTTGTTATTCATATTGTTCATTATTTTTGCATCATTACAAATTATAATAAATTGCTATCATAATGAGAAATTTAAGGAAATGTGATTATGATTAATACCTGTACACTCAGTTTGTCTATAGCTATTGAAGCATTACTTAAATATGGATTCCAATCCAACTTCCTTACTAATTACTACGGTGTATCTTTCAGCTGGGAGCTGCCAGTAGGTTACCAGGTATAACTCCAGGGGTACTGGTATACTTGTTGAAGCATGTGAAGAGAAGGCAGAATGATGACATAGCTAATGTCCCAAGCAGCTGAGTCATTTAATGTACGCATCTATGTGAAAAGGGGCAATAGATGCACTGTTCACCCATTATACTGGAAAAGTTCTGCAGAAAAAAATACTTGAAGACGAAAAACTTTTCTTCAACTGTGATAGACCCAGGATAAGAAAAAAAAAGGGGGAGAATAAATCCCTCCTTCATAACCTGAATGTCAGCAATTAATTATAATTAATTAAGATATTTTCATTTGGCTCAGGCACATCTACCACAATGCAGTTGCTTCTGCACCATTTTTAATATAGCCATTTTGTTTTGCTAGGATTGAGAGACAGCACTAAAAAAGGTGATTTAATTACATCTGTCAAATTCCTTGTTTTATCTGATCACTTAAAATAGATTTAAGGCTGGATCTGAAATAATCAAAGCACAACCAACGTGTTCAACATTTTGTTGTGCATTTGGATATTTTGGTAGTGAATTATTTATTGGTGTTCTTTTTATTTCTTTTTACCACAAACCATGTTGTCATATTTGTCAGAATACTCAGAGACATGATCCTTTTTTTCTCTGTAAGTACTAACCAAGAACAAAAAGAACTCATATATATGTACTAGTAGCCTGAATATTTATTTTCTTGCAATACATAATCCATTCTAATATCTAATTCATAAACCCATATCTAATATGTAAATATACTTCATTGTACCAAAAAGGCACTCAACAATCTCTTCATTTCTAAGCTTTGGTCTTTAGAATACCCTGTGCAGGCTCTATCACATAATTTCAATGTGTTTTTATAATGAATCACAACATGTATAGATACACATTTTGGCCTCCTATATAATGAGCAGTATACTTCAGAGATACAATCCATACTGAAACATATTTGATTGGCAACTTTAAAGCAGTGTTCAGGTAAAAAGTCACCTAAAGGAGCCTCCATGCTGGACATGGCCAATTAATAAACTAAACAGCAGGAAGTGAACTTATTAAAAGGTAGTAAAGGGACCTCTCAAAATGGTGCCGACTGTATCACTATAGTATATCACTCAATGTGAGAAGGGCCTTACAGTTTACTTCAAATGCCAGTGGACGGAATGTACATTATACAGTACTAGACGAGACCATGTACGTGATATTTATATATACATATATTTGTACTTACATAAAAAATCTGGGAGAAAATAAAGTTGTACATACAAAGGCACATGGTGTAAACACCCTGGTGAATTGTGATCAGGTCTACTCAGAGGTGAATATTCAATGTCAAATTTGTTTTTATATTATAACAGGGCATTTCCTTCTCTAATATATACACAAAAATTAGCATAATAAAGAGCATTTGTAAAAATACTCAACTAAATTAACATTTAATTAAAATGAGTAACAAAAATAATTTTTTCCAAAAACCCTCAAAATTGGCTCAATCATCTGGAATGGTTTTTTGAAAACCATTTCTAAAATAACTAAAAAATAAATCAACATTGAATTTATATTTTCACAAACTAAGATAAACTAAAGGGACTTCTAACAAACTGTATTATCTAAATTTATCCACTTAAAATAAGGATGTAAAATTGTATCCTCACTGGGGTATTTAATGTATAAGTGCAGTGTATGTATAGGTGAACATGCACCAATTGCAAACTGAGAATCTGTTGGTAAAATATAAGTGAAAGTTGTATCCAGATCTTAAAAAACTTTACAAAGAATTGAAATCTTTTTGGTTGTTATTGTTGACGCCTTCCCTCTCTTGTAAAAGCAAAGCACGATGTAATACTTTAATCTCTACAGAAACTGTAAAGTGCACAAACATTGAGAGGTCCACATTATACATGGGAAAGGAGGGAAGTCAGAATTTCAAAACAGAGTAACTATATTCAGTTAATGATATAAATCAAAGTGAGGGGTATTAAGCATCTTACTAATACTGTACTGTCATAGCATTTTAACTGCATGCCAACAATGTGACAACCTTGAGCAAAAATCCAGTGTAAAGTGATACCTTTTTACAAACTTACACAATCAGCGGAACAGTTATGCGAAGTATATGATATGTAAAACAATTTAATAAAGTTACTGCATTACAAAATATTTTCTCTCACTGCACAGAAAAAAAACCCTTTCCAATCTGGCCTAAGTTGATACAAACAAAAGCCTTAGCCTATACTGTTCATGTGCAGCATACCTACACTAGCTTCTAACAACTAATGTTATCTGTGATCAGAAAAACTTCAAACAATAATGGTGCAAAAATCACCTTGTGTTTTGTCAACCTGAAAGACTTTTGGGTAGAATTTTTCTATAATTGTACTCATTAAATAATCTAGGTGCAGTACTAAAGACTGATAAATACTATCCTCCTGCTTTGGAAGGCAGGCTTTGCCTGAGATATCACACAATGCCAAAAAGACAAAAATCTTTTGGACTTTGCCAAATTGCTTTGAAGAAATGATAGTTTTCCTTTCTCACAGTTCTCTTTGAGTGCTGTGATCCTCAGACGTATCATGCTACATGTAAGTACTCCTTTGCTTATGATTTCTATAAATGTATACAAATATCTACATAGCAAGACATCTTTTGTGCTTCAATAAAGCAAGAGGCAGCACATATATGAAAGGCAGACTAACTTCTAGACATGCTAAATTGCTCTATAAACAGTAAATGTGTGCTATTTGGATAATAAAAAAATACTACACATATTGTGCTCCTTACTCTGATAATAAAATACTGAACACAATAACAAATTATGAATACTCATCCTGAAGTGGGAAATTGTCACACAGTGATAATCAAAATATTCCTTCTCAATATCCAAGATGAACAGACCCCATGAAATTCATGCACAACTAATCTGACTTAAGCCCTAGCAATATAACTGCATCCAATAAGAATTAGAATGACAGTAAACCCCCAAGGACAGCAGATATTGGCTATCTTGTTGTGTGTGAATTTCTGAATGACCTAGTTGGTGAAGGTGATCTCTGCTTTAAATGAGAATAAGCTCTTTCCATTTGCATTAGTTCCTGAAACATGAAACATGTAAAACTTAGTTTTACCCATGTGAAATTGATTTTTTAACAAAGATGTATATCATCAGTATAAAATGACAAAAATAAATAAATAAATAAAAATAAATAGATAATAAAAAAATAAATGATATTAATAATAGAACCTACCTTTGTTTGATGGGCTAATGTTTCTTGCATTTTTGACAGTTCAGTCATTTTTTCTGTAAGGATATGCTGATTTCTTTGTGCTCTTTCTTCAGCCATTTCTGCTGCCCTTTCTGCATCCCTTGCCCTCTGTTCAAGTAACTTCAAATATTCATCATCAGTCTGAAAAATAAACGAGTGTGGATCTATAATATAAAACAGTGCAGCATTATTTCACAATTTTTTGCACAAATTGCCAAAATTACACCATTCATAAACCTAAGAAAAAGACCTGTGCATTTTTTCTGATGATAAAATACTCAATCAACCTACCTTGCCAGAATGCACAGATAACGAAAGGTTGCTCAAGTTTGGAGTAGAAGTGCTTAAACTTGGACTTCCACTGCCACCTGCAAGTTTGAGAGAGGTATTCTCGTTTCTGAGATGTTTTACTTTGTCCTGCAAATGGCGCAGTAATCGTATAGTACTGGCATCTTCAAAGGCTGGAGACTTGCTACCAGGACTGGGGCTTGGGGTTGATGACTAGAACAAACAAAGTACTTCAATGGATTGATTTAAATGATGACTGTAATAACATAATGTAAAATATAACAAAAATAAGTTAACAAATTTACCCTATCCATTACACCCTTGCATGATGTGTTCCTACCAAATGAGTTAAAGATTTAAAGATATTACTCCACCGACTGAATGCAATTACAGACAGCCCAGAAAGAGCACTGTTTGTCCATTTTCAACAACTGGTTTCTTTGATCAATTTTGCAATAACCAAAATGCTTTATGAACATAGAGAACATGACATGAAATGGATGTTGATACAAATAAACCACGATAAATTAGGGTAAATATGTAAATAATAAGAGAACTTACAAAAGAGAGTCTCCTCACTTCTTCTTCAAGCTTATCTATTTGTTTTTGTTGCTCAGTGTTTTTCCTCTGCATTTTCTTATAATCTTTCAGTCTCCTACAGTCGAAAATGTTATATCAGGGAAAGCAAAACCAATGACATAATGGCATTATATTTCAAATTTACAATAATTCAGGAACAAAATAGGATTTTCTTTTATCAGATGAAATAGGATTCTACTTGTGAATCTTAAAAACTATTAATAACTATTGGCAATGTCCATGACTTAAAGTTATCTTTCCAGTTAAACTACATATATAATCTACGTTTCAAGCAGTGTTAATCGTTACACAACACAAAATCAATTGTACAGACTTAAATGTGAAATCATATCTATTTAAGCTGTTTTCATATAAATTTTATAATATCTGTTAAATCTAACTACAAAAGTAAAGATACTAAAAGTTGTGCAGATTTTTCTGCATAACTATCTGTTTAAAATTCAGTGCAGTGTAAGAAATGTCACAAAAACTACAATGCTACGATAATGATTTTATCAAAAAGAGTGCATATCTACAATCTACTTCCCACCATGAACCTTGAAAGTATATATTTTACCTGAAAATGTTCTGGTAGAAAAATACTCAAGTAAGTAAGAAATGAATCCCATGCTTCACATGCAAATCACCCAATCACATGCAATTTATTACTGGCAATGATTAATTATCATAAACTTCCAATCAAATAAACTTTGGTTATTTCAATTCAATCGATATTTTTTTTTTTTACTTTTCCAGCTCTTTATTCAACTCTTCTTCAAACTTCCTAGCTAATTTGTCTGCCGTTTCTTCCTTCCAAGCATTCATATTGTGCTGGATTTCTTGTAATTCTTTATCCTTAGTGCTCAAAAGTTGACGCAGAGCATTATCTTTCCCTAAGGATGCCTGTAATTGGCTAATTTCATCCATGTGTTCCTACAATCAGAGGTGCAACAAAAATGCTTATAGCCCCATAATAAACAAGCAAACCTCAACAAAATCCAGCTGGCAAGAGAAGCTTTCATGTAGTACGTTTTCCTTTATTTTTCTCTTTTCTTTCTACGGTATATTTTCCATCTTTCCCTTTTTTATATTTCTTTTGTAACATACAATATCAGGTCAAACAAAGCCATGAAAGCAGCCCTTCCAGTCACTCTGTCCAAGCAACACCTCATGACACAGAAGACAGGACACACGGAAAGACAATTCACACAATTCAAATACGAAAGTGTATTCAAAAACTGTAATGAAACTCATAAGCACAGCTTCCTTACTGGTCTTTCTTAAGACTGTCATATAGCTCACTGATGTCTTGCATGTGTTCCTGAAGAAAAGCACGAGAATATTCACAAAGCTGCCAACTTGGCAAACTCAATAGCAAGCAGCTAATAACTATCATTATGTGTAAGTAGTTTGTTAATCTAGAATAAAGATACTAGTAAAATATACAGTTTGCCATTAATGGAAAAAATTAAAATGATGATTAAAAAGTGAATTTTAGTATGAATGAGAGAATGAGGACAAGACTCAAGCAAATTAAGCACACTGACTTTTTGTATCTGAGCTACTGTTGTTGTATTAAACAATTTAATTAGAATGACAGCCACATAATTGTTAGAACACATTTTTTTAATAAATCTAGATCTATATAAAAATTATGTATAAGCAAAACTGAGCACATCATGCAATGACACGTACAAAGAACAAAAGACAAAACAAAGCAGATCCTGTGCAACTATAATTTATTGTGGAATAAAGCACATAAAAAGTAAATATACCATATTAGAGAAAACATAAAAATTTAGAAGCAATCAAGTTAAAATGGTTGCGACAATGTGTAATAACACTGTCAGATATAAATGGCCAATTTTTTATAAATTTCTGAAGTTTTCAAAAGTATGTTACAGTTTTAGGTTGTAGTATAACGGTAGCTATAAGGATAATATGTCTAATGGATAAAAAAATAAAATAAGATTTATTATATGAAAAATAATAAAATAATAGGAACGGTTATTTTCAGTGTTTTTGTTTAAAAGAACACGAGAAGGAATAATTCTGATGTTAGAAGCAAATCACACTGCTCATAAGCACAAACATTTGGCAACAATATCAAATCAAACATTAAGATGTTTAAAAACAACAAAAACAAAGCCAGACATTTTCAAATAATTATGCAATTACAGTTCTCATTAAATGAGGAATTCAAACAACACAGTGTTGAAAAGCAGTAATTCACACAAGGTATTCAAGTAACAACATGCAAGAACTCATGATTGTATTCACACTATCTTTTCTTGACTTTTTGAAATATATTCGCAAGGGAATGAGCAAAACATGCACATACCTGAATCAAGCCTTCTCTCAGAGTTTCCAGTTCCATCTCTTTTTCACGTTGTAAATTTTGTTTTAGTCTTTCGATTTCTTCAAGCTTAAATAGTAAAATAAATATTATATATACTTTATACTAAGTATGTTGCTCTTTAACTACTTTAATACGATTTATTAATTTAGAATAATATCCAATTTATTAAGTTGCACACACACAAACACACACACTTCAGTTGAAGATAATTGTGTCAAAGTTACCTGCTGATGCTGGCTTCTAGAAGAGGCTGACTTAAGGGTGTCAAGTTCTTGTTTCAATTCTTCTACATGGTTTCTCAATTCTTCATTAGTCGCTCTCAAGTTTGCCTGAAAGGCAAAATAGATAAATTACATTGGTGGTATTTAATAAGGGCCAATTTCAAACTTTCTTTTTCAGTCTTAAATCACTCAAATTATAATAAATTATTTTAATTTCAAATGCAAAAGCAACAATCGTATAACCTGGTTTGCAATCTTACCAAAGCTGCTGATGTTGGTGATTTGGAAGGGCTGCTATATGTCACGGAGTTTTTATTTACTGACTTGTTTGGTGTTTTCATACTATTCTCCAACTTGAAACTGCAAAAAAAGAAGTTTTCAACCAGTGACGTCTTCTATATAATTGCAAACTTTCCATAAATTAAAAATTGTGAAGTTAAATTGTCCATAAGATGAAGTACAAAGGTGCAACTCCAAAGCCATCACTAAGAAATTGATGTAGTTGATCATAAATAATTTAAATATGATCATATAATAGACATAAGGCAAAATATACCACTGAGATTTTCCAGAAAACAATTCAAAATTACTTCTCACCTCCACTATTGTATTCTAAAAGCAAGGATCCGAGTAATCACGAAATGAACATTTCAACTGCAACTGACTTTCACTATTCAGTTAACAACAAGGGACCATTCCCATAATTATTTGGATCGATCTTTCTCCCTGGGGAGTCTCACTAAATTGCTATCAAACTAACCAGCTTAAAATTGATAAGCAAACTGGAATAGAGCAAGGGGTTTAGTTATGAAAAAGGTATTGCAACTTGAAGCAGTTTGTAAGTACAGATATTATTTACTTGGTACATTGATTTAAGTAAAAATGCACTAAAACTTTGAAGATCAAATTAAAACAAGTATTCTATCTCAAATAGCATTTTTAAGGATACATATTTGCAGGTATGTGTGTGTATGTATATATGGGTATATATGCGTATATGCGCTTATATATATATGCATATTATCTGCCTTATGATTCTATAGAATTCTTCAAAGGAAGTTTACTCAGGAAAGAATTTATTGTCAATTAAGAAAGGAAAACATCCTATACAGGATAAAGAATAGTGTAAACATGTATTTACATAATCTTGTATTCAACTAATTTATGATGCACTTACTCAGTAGTTATTTGTACATTTAAATGAAATGNATTAAACATCTGTCACACCTAGTGAAACTGTTAGGGGTAATTATTTACCCCTAGCTGATTCGGTAGGCATGACAGACATGTTAAGCCTCTTGATCTGATAGCAATTTAGTGTGAACCCCCAGGGAGTTAGGTTGATCCATTTGGATCCATCAAAGTATGGAAACCTAGTGATAGTTTCTGGAAACCTACCTGGATAAATTAACAGTCCTTGGAGTTAATCCCAAGAGATCTGCAGCTCTTCTGCACTCTTCGTTAATTTCAAATATCACTGTTTTCTCAGTTCTCTCTGAGTGAGTAGAACTTTCACGCTCCTTCTGTAAAGCCATCTGCCTGTCCAGCCTTAGTGTGCGTAGCTCCTCCTCCTGTTTTTTAATTGTTTCTTTCAAAGTCTCTACTTCTCTCATTTTTTCCTAGTATATCAACACAACAAAAATTAAATAATATAACAAGTCTACAGAGTACATTTCAAATAGCAAAACTACATTTATGTATTACATTATTCATATGTTAATACATTGTCATCAGTGAGAAAAAGACAGGTTTGCTGTAACCAAAAAGAATGTAAAGAATGTGAAACTGTCATATTGAAATCTTCATTCTCTGCCAATGTCTATAATTGTTATGCCAGCTATTACTCTTTCAAACATATCCTTGACTTGTTCCAATTTGCTTTGCTGTTCTTGCTTGGCTTCCTCCTTCGCTTGACTGATGGCTGTCAGCTTGTCTTTGTATGCTTGGTAAGCCTGGCGCTTCTCCTCCTCCAACTCCTAGAGGTGAAGAACAAAAGAGGCTGAGCTCAAATAATTTATATTTATTTAAAAAGAAAAAGAAAACAATGCATGAAACCTTTCGGATGAACTCATATAGCTATCATGATATGCATTTATTGTCAGTAACATAAACATGAAGCCACACCAACTAATAACATGAGTCTATCTGATCAATACTACCCACAGTCACATAGTAGACCATGTAGACTGTATTGAGTTAATAGACTAGCTAGGGCAAAACACACATTTTCAGAAATGTCCTTAGCACTTAGTCACGTAAAATATCTGTCTAAATAACTGATTTCCCGAAAAAGTTAATGGTAGCTAAACACATCACAGGCTATTCAATTTGGTCTTTTCTCAAATTTTAAATGTGGCTATGTTATACAGTTGAGTACACAGTTCTATTCAACACCACAAAAAGCTCAAAATGGTGTTTACACTAACTGCTTTTAAAATGTTAATAGTTTCTTTACCCAGGCAATTCTAAATGCCTAAAAAGATTCTATTTGATTAAAGGGGTTTCTTTGTGAAGGTAGAGCACTCTAATTTGTGTATTTCATAGCATATACAAAGCAGGGGGCAAATATGGGAAGCAGTAAGCAGGTGACTTTGAAAAATGCTTTTATGAAATTCATATGTTAGTCTCAATAAACATATTGAATATTTTCATAAAATCATTTTACTTTTATTAATATCTTTTAATGGTAAAAAAGCACAGCTGAGGGATTAACATATTTGACAAAATGGCTTACTTCTGTTCAGGGATTTTTATAATTTTCACTTTAATTACTTTTCATAGCCAAGTATAAGACTGCCTGTGTGCAACATGTTATTAAATCTTCTACTCAAATCTCAGTATGTGTATACTTAAAAAATTACTCACCACATGAACAGAGTAAACCAGATCATTAACATTCATCTCTGGTCCATCAGGTTTCATAGACATCTACAGTATAACCAATGTCTACCCAAATTACCATGCTGAATATTACAATTTTCAGTAACCTTGTCATATACTTTCATCAGATTAAGTTGGATTTCTCTATCAAGTAAACATCCCATGTTTCCCACAGAGACATAACAACCTTTAAGACTCCAGCTTTCAATCTTGCTCTGTTGTTTTTTGGAATTGGACCAAAGTTATGTCAACTCCAAAGTTTTATCGCAGAAAAATCAATAGCGGTCTTAGTTACTGTATATCTAAATCTGCAGCCAAATCTCATTACTACCTCTTAACTGTAGACATATACACCTTGCTCATATGAGCTTCAAATCTATATGGAAAATATCTAAGATGAAATTTTATGATCATTTACACAAATTTCTCCGCTTTATCCCATATACTAGCATATATATATATATATATGCCCCTGTGATTATAGGAAAGGTTGAAATTTATGTGCATAATACTTCACATCCATCTATTTGACTAACATTTTAAACAAACAGTACAATCTGATAACAAGCCTGTTATTACCAAAGCATTGTGTGCTTTTGGATTGTTCATAATTGGATCAATTCATCTTATGCCACTGCATCAATAAAAGCAATAAATGATTTTATTGTGATATTGGTTTTAGTCAAAATTGAGGACAAGTGCCGCAATTAACAAAAAAATCTGACTTGATTAAAATAAAAATCTGAATTTCAATTTCTACTTTATAAATCTGACGTTCCAGATGTGAACAAATTATCTTTGACACATAGGTGTACATCTATATATTTTATAATTTGATTTTGTTCTGCCTTCATGTGTTTAAAATAATTTAAGTTACTAACCTAACAACCATTCCTACAGTGATCAAAGTAGTTCCTGACATGCTTATCAGCTCATTGGAGCATACATGCAATCAAAGTGCCATTTAATACCCTAATCTCACAGTTGCCAGGTTATGTGGAATTCAAATTGCAATTCCAAAATTCAAATGGGCTCATCAGTAATAGATTTCCAATTCTGCACTGTTAAAATTAAATTCCTTCTGTGTCATAAAGCTGGTATCTTGACAAGTCACCATAGATCAAAAGATTTACCATCACATTTTCATTTTTCCACTGGGTGTTACTAAATATAAGATGGAATAACAGTACAGCCTGACTGGATTTTTTTATTCAACTTCTAGGCATTATCTCAATTTAAAACAGGTTTGTTTTGCATTTTCCAGCAGTAACTGTTATCAAAAATAAAAGGATTCTTAAATGGAAGTTGTTTGTTTAAGAAAAACAATTCAAAGCCATTTTGTCAAATGTGAGTAAAAAACTCTAATATAATGCATTTACTTACATCTTTCAGCTGTTCAAGTTTATCAGCCAATAAACTGTTTTGGCTTTTTTCATTTTCCAGTTCATCTTTTAGCTTACTGGTTACCCTGGACGTCTCCTCTTGGAGCTGACTCAGTTCACGTTTTAGTAACCTTTCTTTTTCCTTATCCCAGTTTTCACGTTCTTTAGCAATGGCATTCTGTATCTAGAATAAGTGTGCAGTAACATTTATTTGTGCTCTGATAACACATATATGAACTTAAATCATGTAAGTTGTTAAAATTAAATAGTTAAAACACCTGCTTTTTTGGTAAACCCTGCCTCAAGATATCAGAGATGGTGACTTACAGCAGTGTGAGTTCCGTCAAAAAGTAATGTCTTAAAAGTAACAGCTTACAGTTCATCTACGGATGCTACTACTATTTTTCTCATTGTGCAAACATACCTGATCCTGAGCCTCACGTCTAAGTTTTTCCCCAAGTTTCCTAGTAGCTTCCTCCTGCTGGAGAAGTCTTTCACGTACCATGAGCAGTTCCTCATCTTTAGCCTTCAGAGAGAGAGAAAATAAAGAAAGTATAAAGCAACTGCTCCAGATACAGCTCTAAAATGTTCTACAACCACATAAAATAATGCTTTATAAATGATAAGTTGCATCTCCTCATTGAACATATTGGACAACAAACCAATTAGTGCAAATATCTTACCCAGAGTGCATTCTTATGATCAGTAACTTGTTGCAGAAGTCTTTCTTCCAGCTGCTTCGATTTATCCTTGTGTTCAGCCAATAATGTTTTTCTCTGATTTTCTAATGCATCCAGCTTATCTTGTTCTGCAGCTTTCTTAGCATCTGCCAGCAGTTTCTCCTAGAGAGTGAAAATATACAATTTTTTATAAACAAAGAGTGTATGTCAACTGCAATTTGCATAATATATAGTTTAAATATTGCTAGAATGAAATGGTACTCTTTTTATATGAAATATCATCTAGTCCACATCTGAGTATACACTAGACCCTATCTTAGTTGTTGATATTAGTTATTCAGCCTGAAAAGCATGCTTGCCTTGTCTCCTATCCTAACCCAACTTGTAGAAGCCATAGGTACTCTAACAAGCACTTGCAGTGGTAATGTTACTAAACATAGTCAGCATCAACAAGTCTGGCAGGTGTCAGGGCTTGATTAAAATTTTTGCAGAAAAAAGCACCCTGTACCACACTAACACAGCTCTTTACCCAATATTATTCTACCCTCAAATATTTCAATGTGACTTATTAAACTAAGCAACAAACAAAGTTCACTAAACAAGCATTTCTATTAATATGCAAATGAATAAGACCAATGGAGCCTATAACCATAAACAACTAGCTGGGCTGTATTGCATTATTTGTTTACCTTCAACTGTCCAGGCTACAGGTATATTGTTTTCATAAGAAAGGACTTCTTTGTTAATTTTCCATGACATATACATGTTTAAAGATGTAATGCAGAAAAAGAAATATTTCCATTACCATATTATTTTTTCTGCTTTGATTAATGTAAAATGTTTGAATCTATTATACAACACTATAACTGTAATAATATAAACAATATGAAGCCCATTATCAATACTTTCTATAACTGGTCAAAAATATCAATATCTCAAACTGGTACTGTACCTTGACAGTGCATCGATAGCAAAGGGTTGAAAAACAGACATTTTTCATAAGACTTACCTTTTCTTTTTTCAACTGTTTTATTACTTTTTGATTTTCCTCAATGACGCTGTCTTTGATTTCTGTGTCCTGACACATCTCTTGTTCAAGTTCAATGACTTGGTCCCTATATAAAATCAAATGGTGGATTTGTTTGATCTGTTGAAGTAAATGATAATCCACTACACTACACTGCTAAGCTGGGGTAGTGCTAACACTCACCATTTTTGCCAAATGCTAAAAATGACTTAAATTGGCTAAACAAAATAGGGTAGATTTGATTTATTTAGTCAAATTTAAACCATTTGGAGAAAAAAGTGATGAAAAAGTAGTGATTTGGCTAAGTGCAAAAAAATTCCTAGCACTACTCCAGCTACATGATAATACAGAATATTTAGAAAGTTAATTAAGAGATAAATGTTTTAAAATGTACACTTAGAGGTTTTCTCTGAAGTATTTTTCATTAAATTAAATTTCCTTAATTAGAATATAAAATGCTCACCTAATATTTTGATAGATTTAAATACAACAAGTTGTTCTACTTTAAATGATAACTAAAACATTTCCCCTTTTTTCATCACATCTGCAATTGCTACGGGCAGGAAGAGACTTTCCATATACTGCCTTCTTTGTCCTTTCTTGGAATTAAATGCAAGCCACCTACCTGAGTTTGAGGTTTAGTTCATCTTTGTGATTGATTTCTTCTTGTAAACTGTTACATTTTTCACGTTCCAGTTTCAGTAATTCCTTCAGCTCAGCTAGTTGAACTGTGGTCTGTTTTTTCAGCTCAAGCATGTCATTTTGCATCCTCTCACGAAGATGTTCATATTCTGCAGATTTTTCCTATCAGGAAAAGTATCATTACAACAGGTTTCTGATAAAAATGTGAATCGGTTGGTTGCTATTGGAAAAAAAACTCAAATTGAAAGTCCATATTTGAATATTAATCCATTTAAAATTGTGCCAAGCCAAATCAGTTGTGTTAATCACCTGCACAAAAGTGTGTTTACCACCACTATAAAGTGGTCTAATCTAGGAGCAATTCACTATCACGCCTAAAACATTGGCATATCTAAAACAATTAACGTAACATATACCTTGATCACCATATTCTTTTCCTTGTCAATATCCCTGAACCTATTTTGTAGTTTCTCCAACTGTTGGTCTAGATTTTCCTTGGCAGCCTGCAGCTCTTCCAGCTGATTCTTAGTTGCTTCCACTTCCTACATTTTTAAAGCTTATACATTACAGGTAAAAGGTACATGGAAGTGCACATGAACAGAAACTGAATTAAATTTTAAATGTTACATATTTCCACATATAGTTTAGAAAAATAAAATGTGCTAAAATATCAATACCAATTATTATATGAAAAAATCCAATTAAATATTTATTTCAGTCAAAATGCAAGTAACTGAGATATGTACTCTGTTGGTTTGTTCATTACAGTATAACTGTTGATATGAGAGCTTGCTGTAATTTTAATTTGTGAATGTCTGTCTTCTGTAAACTTCTCTATAGATCAACCATGCAAACTAAGAGACACTATAGTATCTAGTAATCCTATAATAATTAGTTATTGAAACTGTGTGACTGCTGGTAACTGTGTAAGACCAGGCGATAATATTTCACCTGCAAACAGAACTACATATAAAAGAACTACATACAAAAACATATTAAAGATTGCCTTCGTTATGTATGGATGTATCAAAAAAATCACAATATGATTCCTTGGTAAATCTATTTCTATATTTTAAGTGAGTTTGCCATATATATGCACTTAATAAGAAGTCATATAACAATTCATTAGTAAGAGTGTTCTACATTGTTCTATATATCAAGTACTAATTTATCTAAAAAAACCCCAACAAAATACAAATAAAAGCTCAAACCTCTTCCAGTTCCTCTTCTTTTTCACGTGCCCTTTTCTGTTCATGGAAAAGTTCTTCTTTGGTTGCATCCAGTTGTTTTTCAAGTTCATCTCTTTCCAGTTCAGCAGCATGGCCTTCTCGGAGTTTCTTTTTCAGCTCTACGTGCTCTTTCAAAAGCTCAGAGAGCTAATGTAGGAGGATAAAAGAAGTGACTTGAGTAAGAAGATTAAGTAGATATTGATTTGTCAAGTTCATGTGAAAGCCGTTTTCAGATACAAGAAACAAAGATGAATACTAATGAAGCAAAATAACTTAAATGGTGCACAGGAGATACTGACATTCTATCTACGAACATGAGAATATATGCACAAATTAATTGATATTTCTTAAAGGAATGTATGAGATATATATTAACAGTAGACATTATAACTATTCCTTCAAAATGCTAATAGTGTCTCCATAAAGAAAACTGGCTTCTACCTATTAGTGAATACATACCTCATCTCTCGGCATACTTAAAGTGTCTGCATTCCTTAGATCATCATGCATGGCATCTATTTTGGCTTCAAGTTCTTTAGCTTTCCGTCTTTTCTTGGCCAGATCTTCTGTGATGTGCTCTAACTCCTTGATTGATTTATCTCTTTTAAATTCTGCCAGCATCAGCTCAGATCTGTAGTGAATATAGGCATTCAGGTATAAACTATTGCCTCCAGGTACTATTCATTCATTGTTATATTTTCATTACATGCTTAGGATCTTTAATAAATAAGTGTTTCTCCCTATTTATCACAAAATTTAACTTTATCCGAGTGACAAAGGTTTTTTGTCATTATTTAATACATAACTATAATTCTAATAACAAGACTAAGCCTGTTTACCGCACATCTTCAGCTTTAGTCCTGTTTTCTTTAGTGAGTTTCTCTATGTGTTTTACATCTGCTCTGCCTTTTTTCAGAGTGTCCTGAACTGTCTTCAACTCTTGCTCTAGTGCCTGTAATACATGTGAACTAGTTCTGTAGAGAAACACATTTTTTCAACAAATAACTGGAAAGAGAATACATTTTGAAATACTAACAGGATAGTGAAAATGTGAACAATAAATCAACATTTAAATTAAAGATATGAACTGGGTGGCATGAAAATATTTATCTAATGCTATTTTGACCTTAGTTTTCTGCGGCATTGCAGTTATGCATGTGCAGAGCAATATAATAGGTTTTGAAAAAAAATACCTGCTTCTCATCCCAAGTTTGGTGAAGACTTCTTGTCAATTCCTTTAATTCATTACTTCTAGCTTGAAACACTTTCCCACTTGTCTGGAAACAAAACCCAAACAAATCATTATAAATAACAGAATATGATATAATTCAAAAATTAAATGAGATTTATTGAAATTTAATTGAAATTCTATGAAGTTTCTAATACAAATGAGAGGTCATACGAGATTTCCGTTTTTGCGAGAGCACTTGCGCACGATAGTCACTATCTCGAGTGACCAGCACTGCATACCAGAAAATTGATGCAATTGTAATACCACTATACAATAAAAGGAATATGAAATCCTTTTCAGACAAAGTATATCCTTCTCATCCCGTTAACTAAAGGAAGATAATATAAATAATTATCTTAGGTGCATTATAAATACCAACCCAAAATATGGTAATGAATTGATATGATAACTTAAGTTATCTTAGGTGCATTACAAATATCAACCCATAAATATGGTTTTACATGTTACTATGTAAACCAGGCACTGCCCCCCCCCCC